TGGGGCGGGCGCCGAGGTGAGCGGGACCCTGGTCCTGCAGCGCGTTGTCTGGAGGGACGGAGTGCGGACTCCAGGCCACGTCTCGGCCTCATTTCACCTTCGGGACGAGCTCCCTGGGGCTCCGAGGCCAGACAGCCTTCGCATTGTGCACAGCCCCCCTCCTCCGCCTGCAACGCCACCCATTTCCCTACAGCCAAGAGAACATCCTGGTAGCCAAGCGTGATGGCAGAAAAATAGCCTTGAAACCAATCTCATTTATTTTGACAAACCAGCTATCAATAGCACCAAGTTAGGGTGCATCCCAAACCCACGCTCGTGCGCAGTGTCAGGAACGCGAGCCCCAGGGAGCAGGAAACGGTGGGATGTTGCTCCTGCGGAGTCCAAAGCACTCGCAGATCCAGCACTCAAGGAACTAGCGAATGGAAATGACACCACATGCAGGCATTATACAATTTGGGAAGAGACCTCTCCATTTGGCATACCAGGCTTTCATTTCCTGTTGATATATTTTGTTCTAAGTAAAATCAAATCGTGCGCCACACTTATTACTGGTTGGGTGCCTAGGGTTACACCAAGAAGTGTGTGAGATGGTCTCTAGTCCTATGGAGCGCACAGGGTGGTTGGGGAGACAAATATTAAGTTTAGAAAACAAGAAACAAGCGAAGCCTAGAATAAGGCCTGTAACGTGTGATGAAGAAGGTGGTAAGGAAATAACGTGTGAACTGAGCCAGGAGGAAGGATGGAACTGGAGACGGGATGAGAAGAGGACTTCTAGACAGACAGAGCAAACCTAGGAAAGAGATGGAAGTAGGGACTCGGTGACGTGAGGGAGGATCCAGACTTCAGGAGCAGGAGGTTTGAACTCATAGACAGTGGAGGCAAGGGAGGCAGGTGCCCAACACCCCTCTCATTGCTAAGTGAGTCCTGCCATTGGGCAGTCCTCATCCACTTTGCAGAGCTTCCACAAAACCTTTCTGCCTCCCTCCTCACTATACACAGATGACCAAAGGTCAACAGACATTCGAGGAAGACAGGGGGAAAATGAAAGAAAAAAAAAACTGGAAGAAAAAATGTTATGGAAAACTTAATTATCTAGTCTCTGAAGACAATATTACATCAATAAGTAAAGATATATAAAAGCATTCAGAAAATAAGAGCTCTTGAAAATTCAGGAAGTAATAACTTAAGTGTAAAAGTTGATAAAAATAAGATAAAATTGATATATGTTAGACGATAAAACAAAAAGAAAAAGACATGGGAAAAGAGAAAACATAAGAAAATTACAAGATTAAGAAGTTCAACATCTGAAAATAGCAATTACAGGAAAGAGAACAGAGAAAATGAGGAAATTACTTATGAAATAATTCAAGAAAACTTGCCAGATGTAAAGACATGTTCTTATGTAGAAAGGTCAAACCAAATGCCCAGCACAACAAACCTGAAAAGGTCCACACCAGGGCACATCATCACAAAATGTCAGACCTAGAAAGCTTCCATAGAAGAAATAAAAGGGCTGTACTTAAGGCATTGGAAATCAGAAAGGCATGGAAATTCTCCATAGACTCTCAGGAAGCTGAAATTCAATGAGGCATTTTCTTCAAAATTCTGAAGAAATTAATTTTAATATGGAATTCTACTCTCAATGAGACTATTAGTTAAGTGGGAGCGAGAATAAAGATGTTTTCAGGCATGCAGCTCAAAAATATTACCCACCAAATACTTCATTCCAGAGGCATGCTGGAGGACATGCTCCAACGTGAAGAAGTCAAGAAAGGACCCTCTGGGGCCTGGAGAGCAGGAACCGGATGGAGAAGGAGCAGGAGGCCCCAGGATGCAGGCTGAGGACCATCTAGATGGGAGCAGGAGGCCCTGGAGACATGACTCCAGGAAAAGTGTGACCCAGCAAATACTTGATGTGTTTGAATATTTCAAAAGATCTGTAGAGTTTGGTGACAATAAGTAATAGACACATAAATAGCATAGGTCTCAGTTATCAATAATGATTACACAATTTAATAAGGTAAATAGCGAATGGTAAGTTAATCAAAAGGATGCTATAAGTATTTTTTGAGAAATGGGAGGTGATTTTATCTGTATTCATTAACGTGTATTGAGGGGGACCAAAGTTTTGCCACCCCAAAATATGCTTTCTGGGATGTTGATTTTAAGCCATTTGTTAAGGAACAAAAGACCCAGAAAGAACTTCTGTCCCTCCCCTTCGCTGCCTGAAGGAATCCAGGTAGAAAAACCTGCTCAGAGCAGAAGAGCACCCCCTCAGCACCCTAATAAAGAATGTGTTTACCACGTTTGCTCTTTCTCCTCTACCGGTGAATGACCAGCTTCCCCTTTGAAATCCCACACCCCTGCCTCCTCCTTTGTTCAAAATGGCAAATAAACCTCAACTACCCAATGCACCTTTGGGTCTCCTATTCTTATGGCACCCCCACATCATCCACTCTGCGTATTAATCCGCCTCACGAGAATTTGACTAGTAGCTCAGCCAGAAGAACTTAGACGGTGGAGAAAGTGATTTTCCTTTGACCTAACAGTGTCTAGGAAAAGGGGCGTGTGGGGGGGAACCTAGCCCTAATCTGCTAGGTTAGGATGTCCACAGGCAATCCCCACAACTGGAAAAGAAAGACACCACATCAGAAACTTCATAGTTAAGGAAGGAATTTGGGGTGGGAATGTGTGGTGTGGGAAGTTGCTATTTTTTTGTTAGAAATCTAGAAATACTATTTGAATTTTGAAATTGTAAGTATGTTACTCTGATAAAAGGAACACATTGTAAATGTAAGTTTAAAGAACTGGGTAACTAGTGCAAGTGGTTGTAAGTGGAACAATTGTTACTTTCTAAAGGCTTTTTAATTTGTTTTAATGCTATAATACACTACAGTGAAGGAAAGGAAAACCCAAACATTGCTTGCAGATCTCTTTCCTGGGAGACTAACAGAAAAGATGCACATAGAAATCAGTGTAACAGGAGAAAGAAAATTACGTGTGATTATTCACATATTTTACGACACATACAGACACTTCCGTGTGCCCTATTGTACACAGCAGCTTTACCAGTGGGGAGAGAACCTAAAACAGGAGATAAAGAATTTATGTAAAAGAGGAAAATAGGGGAGACAAGAAAGGAAAGGAAAACTGTAGGTTGAAAATAGGGAGAAGTTGGAACATGGAGAGATGAGGGGACCTGGGGGAAGGGTGGGATGCAGGACAGATTTCTCTAGGTAACCAACTGACCCTTTACATAGCCTTCAAGGCTTATTTGGAATTAGCTTTAAATTTATTTTAATCCTGAACTGAAGTTCTTTGAATGCAGCAACCACATGGGCCCTGGATTTTATTTAAATACTAGCTCACCATCTGAAAATTGGGAGAGAAAAAAGGCACATAAAAACATACTGACTTCTACATGGTTGATTCATGTCAAACATGACAAGTGTTTTACTGCTGATAAAAAGTGTCATATAGAGAGAACATGCCCTCTTCCTCTGAGAGCCAACCCATGTCTGGCTGTGGCTTCTAGGCGGTGCAGGCAGGGTGGGCGGGAGTGGGCAAAGCCTGAACCCACAAGCCACAAGTGTAGAGCAGAGGGAGCGCACCTCCTGTGCCCTGATGATGAGGTGGAACTAAAATTTACTAAGACCACGCTACCCCCTAAGGCAGAGGTTCTCAACCTGTGGGTCACGACCTCTTTGGAGGTTGAACGACCCTTTCACAGGGGTTGCCTAAGACCATTGGAAAACACATATATAATTACATATTGTTTTGTGATTAATCACTATGCTTTAATTATGTTCAGTTTGTAACCATGAAATTGGGGGTCACCACAACATGAGGAACTGTATTAAAGGGTCGCGGCATTAGGAAGGTTGAGAACCACTGCCCTATTGCTATAAGCTCTAGGAGACAATGTCTTTTCGATACTTGAACGCCAAACTTAACTGCTCTAATAGTTAAGAGGACTGAGTGAGGGTGCAGCTGAAAGTCTGTTTCGGCTTCTGCCCATGAAGGAATAATTCCTACAGAACTCGTTCTTCCACTCTAAACCACTAGAAAACTAGACAAAGTATATGAGTTTACTATTTTCAGCTGGGAGACAACAGGGAGTGAAGGATGCAGATTCTTGAAAGGAAGGAACCATGGGATGAGCCCAAGGACTTCCCTGATGTTCTGCCCAGGTCAGCAGTGAACATCCATGACACAGAAGGCTGGTCCTTTGATAAGAGCAGTGAAACGGATAAACCTGCAGCTGTACTGATGGGGATCAAAGCACAGATGACAGACTACCCAGGCTCACCTTGGAAAGTGGTGTTGGCTTTCCCCGTCCGGAGGGTAAGCAGGAGACTATTGGAGCAACTAAAGTTGAGATGGAGAAATTCCTTGAACCTTACCAATGACCAAACCTGACCAAAGAAGAAATAAAAAATCCAAGTAACCCTATATTCCTTAAATGCTATCCTTATTTATTATATGGAATTTGAAAGTAAAAACTTTCCACAAAGAACACTCCAGACACAGTTGGACTCACCAGTGAATTCTCTCAAGCATGTAAGGAAGACATATTAATCCTAGGGCACACTTTCCAAAAATACAAGAGCAGGCAGACTTCTCTACCGCTGTATAGTTTAGATAACGGTCAAAAGTGTTACCCAGAAAGGCCTGCTGCTCTGTTTTCGAGGAAACAGGAGGCGAGGCTCAAATCTGTTTCCTGGATGCAGGGCTTGAGGCAAGACTTAAGGGTTCCAGCCCCGTCTTCCTGGACAGTGGACCTCGGCTCTGAGAGGGTTCTGGTGTTCAGAACCCAGGCCTCGGGTTCTTCACGGT